ACATAATTCAAAGAATTCAAAACGTAGGCGAAATGATAAAATTTTAATGAAAAAAACTTAAATAAAAATACAAGAAGTGAATAAAAGCTAGCAGTTTCATTTAGAACACAATCGAAACTAGGAATAAGATCGTTACAGTAGCCTTTTTGGCTTCACTGGCGAAAGTAAAACACTGTGGCGAGAAAGTAATCGCTTAAAAGGCTAAAAATTGGAACAAAAGAGAATTTTGAAACCGAAAGAAAAACTTTTCAAAACTTCTACTAAAATATTAATCTTGAAAACGAAAAGATTACTTTACTAAATAAAAAGAAATTTAAATGAATGCTGACCTTATTTGGGTATTGATTGTTTGAAGAATTTTGGTTTTAACATTTATTAAATTCTTTATTGCATTTATAGGATTATTTGAAATTTATTACTTATTGAATTTCAATTTTCCGGCTTTGTGAAGAATTGGTTCTAAATTTCTTACTTTATGTCGTTATTAAATACGTGATTATACAGTTACTCAAGGCATTTATTTTTCCAGAAAATAAAATGGCGTAGAATATAAAAATATACTTAAAAAACGGTTATATTATTAACCTTGTTTTATTATTTTAAAATAATTAAAAAATCCGTCTGTTAACATCGGGAAAATATTTTCAAAGACACATGGCATTAATACATAAACATATAATAACAATAGGGTTATAATCTTGATTAATTAAGTAAAATTCATCAAACATATATGCTACCTTTAGAATACAGACAAATATTTCCAGACATGGCACAAAATATTATATACCATGATTACATTAAAGCTTACTTTATTATTCAAATTAACCAAGAATATACCCTGTCATTACATCTTAAGAACAATGTCAAGATGTTTCAAAAGACGCAGGAATGTATTAAATATCAGTTTGTATTAGGATGGTAATATTATATAGCCTAATTAGTTACATAAAATTGATTGAAAAGGTATCTCCTCATTCAGTACTGACGAGAAACAGAAAACAATTCCAAAGACTTACTAGGCTATATATATCCATATATATTATATATAGCCTTATACATTATATATAGCTTTGTATACATAATGCTGATTCAGGCTGTAGTAATGAAGAAACATTTTCTACGAAGAAAGAGAAGGCATCAGCTATCTTGTAATTAACCGGTCGGTAATAGATGATTGATGGTATTTATTACAATTATGCTGCGCTGCGGATAGTAGCGAATATTAAATTCCAAATGTTTTAAATCTGCAATAAAAAATAATCTACATTTTTCTTGTAGTTATTAGTACCAATCGCAGTGAATCTAAACTTTAGTGGGTTTTTTATGGAACTTTGAAAGAACGTAAAGGTTAGCAAATCTATTACATCTTGGTTTATAGAAATGTTTAGTCTTTTATAAAAAGCTTTAATTTTGTTGATTACTGAAGTTTTTGTAGCATTAGTAAGATGATAAGTTATAACTTGCACTAGCTCTATGCTAATAATTTATATTTATTATTTGCTTTATCTATTTTAGTGATTGAAAATTGTTGTTTTAAAGCATTAAAACTAGAAAGAAGGTGAGGCCAATTTCAATTGCAGTAAAATTTTATTTGATTCATCTTACGTTTTATTTGCTGTAGTATTTCGTCCTTTCACTTCCAAAAAGCTGTATTAGGTAAATTATATTGATAGCTAGACTTAACTGTAAATTTGTTGATGGTATTTTCTATATTGTTGATACAAAAACGTCTGCTAATGTACCTTTACTGGTCTGTATTTTCTACCAAAGCTCATGAGTTTTTTAATCTGTGATTCATTAATGATGTCTAACTTGTTAGTTGTAACTATGTGTTGGTGGTGAGAATCTATGTAAGGTATGAACTGTGACAATTCGCAGTGTCATTCTGAAGAATTATCTATGGGCCAATTTCCTTTTCTAAGATTTGTTTGAAGCCCAATACAAGAAAGATTTTTTTTTTGCTTTTCTATGTCTTTTAGGCAGAAGTAAAATAATTTTATTTGTTTGTTACTGTTTGAAGCCAATTTAGCTTAATCAAAACTTTTCACGCCAGCAGCTATGGTAGCCCGAACACCTGTCAATTTTTCCCGCCTTCCTAAAACAACCTTTAACAAGCTACCTTTTTTACACTCAACACTTCTCCAACACCCTCCTCTCTTGATCTCCAAGGTGTTCTAATACAGCGAACGTCGAATTGCTGCCCACTTAAATTTAGCAAACATGTAAGTTAAATGTACTTCACATTTCTGGCCATTTTCATGCACTTTTTTAATATAAAATACTTTAATTCTTATAATGATGCTACATTTTTATTTATTTTCATATTACTTTTGTTTTTGAATTAATTCGTTTTGCAACTTTTGTCTGAAATTATATTAAGTATGCGTAACAAATATGTCGGGGTATAATCTTCTTGTCCAAGAATATCTAAATCTTTAATAAGGTTTTATTCTTAATTTAAACTATGATATATTTTTCGACATTTTTGATTTTATGCTTAGCTCTTGCATAACAAAACGACGAAATACATTCGCTTTTATTAATTATTGTGATTTTATCGCGAACTGATTTTATATCCTTGAAAAGTCAATTAATTTCCTATTCATAGCAATAATTATTTCAGTTTTACTTTTAATGAATTATTTCTTTTCAATATACAGTTCTTGAACTTTAATGAATGTTTTCATAAAAATGATCATTTATTAATTTTACTTAAATATTTTATTACTATTCACTATTTTTATTAAATTTTACAATTTCGTTTTCAAGGAGATAATTCAAAAACTATTTAATTTATACTATACTATGTAATAAAGCAGACACTTTCAGTAACGAAAGCAAACTTAGAAGTACAGATGTTGTAGGAAAATTTATGGCGTAAAAACGTAGCTAGCATAGAATGTAGATTGGTGATCCATAATAAATAGGAAACTGGAGGCCGAGACAGATCAAATCTTCATTTTTATTTCAATAAACATGTTGCCGCCACAAACAGTTTTGAAGACTACTTGTGCCTAATTCAAAATATTTACATTTTTATAGCTTTGCAGTAAGAAGACAGCAGAAAGCAGCAGTGCAGTTAGGCCAAGTGTAGAAAGCAAGTGAAGCCATGTTCAGGTTGAAATCTTAATTCAGACTGAGTTAGTTTTGTTTCTCAATGCATTTTGATTGGATAGTTAATACTGCTGTAACGACTTACATTAATAACGTCACTAACGTTATTAACGTCAGTCATATGACCTGGATTAATCCTGAAATAACGACGTGTAGAAAAAGATTCCTATTTTTAAAGCAGAGAGAGGAAATAGCTATTTAAAATTAAGCATTAAGGGGCTCAATGTCAATGAAGAATATATATATATATCATTTTTGAATTCTGAAATACGTTATTCTGTTAAAGAATTTTATACATAAAGCAGTGTCTTTATATACAGTGCGATGCGAATCTGGAACTTCTTTTGTGTGTGAAGTTAGGAATATATCGAACTGAATAATTAAGTGCCATTTCTTTCTTTGCCAGAGTATTTTAGTTCATAACAGAAAAAATTAAACGACATAACAAATTGTGACATGCAGCAGAAATAAAATAGATTTAAAAATGCAACACATGTACAAATTATTTCAATTTTCATTTACTGTTTTGGCCCACCAGCGGCCGAGCGGTAAAGTTGCTGAACACTGGTAGTTCGGTCCGAGGTTCGAATCCCGCGAACGGGCTGGCTGCATGGGTGTTTTCGTGGTTTTCCCCATGTGTAACGTGTATACGAGCCAGTTTCCCTTAGAAAGTCCTCCACGAAGACATCCTTCCCCTTAGGCAGATAGCCCTAGTGTGCTTTGCCATTATTAAATACACACATTTACTGTTTTGTTTGGGACGACATCCTACAATTTTGCTTCAGATTTTTAAAATTTAATATATGATATTACGGAAAAGATATACTGTTCTAAAAATGAATTTATTACACAAATTGCCTTTAAAAGCAAATACATATATAAAGAATAAATTATATTAAGAATAAATTGTTATGATTAATCAAAGAAACCAAATATAAAAATTACAAATATAACTAAACTGATATTCATTAACGGAATTTAAAATGGAATTTTGTATCACTTTTTTATTAACTTTTCAAGACCATGAAATTAGTTTTGATATCAGAATATTGTTATCAATGGAAAATAAAATATCCAATAAGAGTTTTGTCTCGTCTTCCAATGCAGAGTTAATTTTCTTGCTGTTTGCGACGAAGCAAGATGTTTAAATTCAAAACCCATTTTTTTACGTGTTTTGTCAGACAATTTAAGGCAATAAAATGGCTGTAATTCTGGAACACGATACTGGGTATATTTAATTCCCAGTATCGTGTCCCAGTAAGGTTTTAGATATAGGTACAGCTGTTAAAAATATACACAATTGATATATAAAACTGTCTAATCAAGTCGTAAAACGACTTTTAGCCAAATAATCGAGCAATTTTTTAAATGACAGAAACTAATGTATATAATTTCAAACACCATTTTTTACATTAGTTCCATGAAATGCATTTCAAAAGCAAAGCACAATAACTTAAAATTTTAAAATGTCTTTTGGGATGTTACGTTGGAACATTTTGTATAGTTTATTTTAGACAGAAATATTAAAATATACACATATTTAAAATATCATTATTGAATTTTTTAAGGAACTAATTCAAGACAATATGTTTCTTCACAACAAATTCCCCACATCAGTTTGGCGGAAATCGCCGTAGTTAGTAAATCTTTAGATGCCAGGATTGAAAATAATCTTTAAATCCTTTTCGCAATATCCTTGAGGCATGTACACACGACAATAAAAAGAATAGGGCACTTATCGAAATTTTCTATGATTATAAATGCTACCCTCATACAAATAAAAAGTACTCAATCATGCCTACTAAAAACCAGTCATGTTCACAAGAATACAAAAATTTTAATTAAATGGTAATACTGAAAAAAATTTAAAAGAAAATCGGACTTACCATTTATGTTGGGTCCGGTGACAAAAACCCAGAAATCTATCGTTTTCTCTTTTCCAAGTTGTTCGTAGTCCCACGGTTCTTTGACTTTCACATCACCAGATGCATCCACTTCAACCCACTTGATGGGGTTTTCAATTTTGTATGTCTCCTGTGGATGCTTCTTATCCAACTGAAACATCACTTTCCCTGGTTTACTCCCGTCCGTTTCTTTGTACTCGTAACTCTTGGTCGGTCTCACGCTTCTCCTTTGACGAATAAGGAATATCTCATTCGTCTCCAGTGGCGAAGAATCATTTAGAGAAGAAGAAATTTCCACTTCATTCTCTAGCAGTATTTCCTCACTGTAGACTTCTATATACACCGAGAAAGGAGCGCTGATCCTAGGAGGTTTCGCGGTATCCTGTGTACGAATGCTAAGCTTATACGTTTTCAATTCAGGAGTGGCTATCAGTAGTAACTGTCCTGTTTTAGGTATGATAGCAAAAACAGGATGTCTCGATACCAAGTGGTACACTGGTCTGTCTCCGTCTGCATCATAAGCACTGACATTGCCCACAATCGAATATAATTCGAGATCCTCAGGAATGCGAAACTCGTAAACTGTCCTGTCTGGAACAGGGGCATTGTCGTTGACATTATCTACAGCAATAGTCAAACGAGCATCTGCGCTGTTTGCTTCTTCTACATCCGTGGCACGAATGATCAAGTCATAAACCTCTTGCCGCTCACGGTCGAGGACTCGATTAGTGCGGATGACAATGGCGGTGGATAAATTGTTGACTGGTTGAACGATGCTAAATGCATCATCCTCATTCCCGGACACGAAAGTGTAGATTATAGGATGATGAGGATCGGAGGTAGCAAAAACGCGGTCCAATCCATCGACCACTGTGCCAACCGGTTCGTTCTCCAAAACATGCCCGCTGTAACTATCTTGGGAGAACCTTACAAGTCGGTTACGGTCAACCACATGCACCACCACCATCTGTTCTTTGGTGCCATTTTCCGCTTCTTCCTTCACGACCAGCGTGAGCGGAGGAGAGTTGACTAGATGACTGAGATCCGTTGTTGGCATCAGTAGGCCATCATTCATGACAGCAAATAAGCACGAGAACTCATTATCTAGGAGGCTAAATGCTTGACCCCAGTATTCCAGCTTGGTGATACCATAGCCTGGATATGCGTCATGTGGGACGGCCACCCGTACAACGTCGGCAGCTCCCGTGCACCTGATTGGTGAGGCAAAGAAAGAAAGTGTAGCAGTGCAAAATAGAGTCACCAAGAAACTCATGAGTCTAGTTGACTCCATCACAGCCACTCCCGAGGCAGCAACGTATCCTTGGAACTTTACATGAAATTTCTTTTCTCTCTACTAGCCGAGGACTTTCTGAATCCAGTCACTATTTATCTTCACCTGAAAGGAAAAACTGTTTTTAGAATAATTTTCAATGAAACATTTCATTTTTATTTAAATGGCTTTTAAATTATGTAAGCCATCAAAGGGAATAAGATACACTGAAAAAGTATCCGAGAAAGATATTAGATTGAACGAATGAGGAATATTTATAAAAAATAACAAAATAACATGCAAAAAAAAAAATATTTGTGAGTTCTATAATGAGGAGTATCCCTCACAACTGCTATAAGACAAGTGGGTAAGGACGCATAAAACTAGTATCTGAATACTAATTCAGAAATCAAACAACAAAAATCAGCGTTTTCAAATTTTCGCAGGACTAGTTTCGATGGTTTTAGCGAACCACCATCCTCAGCTACAAAAGCGCAAATGAACGAGATAGGATAAAATGATTAGGTAAGATAAGAAAGCCTGGACAGGAGATAGGCTAGTGGCGCTATCTGTTGATGAAACCAGAATTAAAACATAATTTCTTTAAAGGCCAAAGGCAAAGATGAATTGGAATTAGGATCGTTTCAATTTTTCTGCTGCCAAAATTATTCAAAAAAACATCTTCCATTGGAGAACTTGATTTTCTGGAGGAATTTCACATTCAAAAAAATCTTTCTGTTCTTGTTTATGATCCTAATTCCAATCCATCTTTACCTTTGGCCTTTAAAGAAATTATGTTTTAGAGTTCTGGTTTCGTCAACAGATGGCGCCACTAGCTTATCTCCTGTCCAGGCTTTCTTATCTTATTTAATCATTTTATCCTATCTCGTTCATTTGCGCTTTTGCAGCTGAGAATGGTGGTTAGGTAAAACCATCGAAACTAGACCTGTGAAAATTTGAAAACGCTGATTTTCGTTGTTTGACTTCTGAATTAGTATTTGTTCGGCGTGTTATTGTATCTTAAGTATCTGAATATTTGTTTAAAGCCCGAGAAACGGGCTGGCTGAGTGAATATTTTCAGAGATTTCCTCATGTGCAGAGTAAATACAAGTCAATTTCTGATATAAAATCTTCCAAAAGGCATCTTTTTTTTTTTTTTTTTTTTTTTTTTTTTTTTTTTTTGTTAAGAGATAACCGTCGTATGTTTTCGATATTCATATAAACAAACCGGTATAAGACAAATAAAGAGACAAAACTAAGAAAAAAATATGGGATGCATCCTGGCTGTACACAAATTTGATAAAAGACAGCTAGGGTTTACTATCTTATTGTTTTAATAGCTTTAAATTGAAGTACACATGAAGCCAACGAAGATGTTACTTTGAAGGTAGGTTGAGATTGATATTAAAAAATCTGATGTGTACACCACATGACTTCCTTGTACGAAATATTATATGCATTTTTTCTTGCATTTCATTTAAACTTATTGGATTGAATAAAAACTACTTCGCCGACAGCGCATAAACCACAATAGAATAAATGCATTCTTTAAAATTCACTCTAATATTTGTTTACCATAGCAACACTCTGGCGCTAGATTCACTTAACAGTATTATATTTCGTTCATATTATAACTCATAATGCACAAAATTTATATCATTTAAAGAATAGAATTATATACTCGTTGCCACATGTTCTATTCAAATACTATAATAAAGCTGGAAAGATGTATAAAAATTAAGCAACCAAAACAAAAAAGAAACAGTTTTTCACAGACGATTGAGTATTTCTCATTCAGTTAATTCAGTTCTCACTTCGCGAGAAGCCAATACATAAAAAACTCAAAATATCTATATTAAAAATTACAAGTAAATCTTAAACTTATTTCTCGAAAAATTCCAAAAGATTAAGCATGATTTAATTGGCATAATAAATGAAGGAGTTATCTTTATTGTTGCGAGCTACGTTTCCTCTAGATTGGCAATAAACACTAGTCTGCTGTTTTTCAAATGTAAACAATCCATGGCCCGCCATAAAAAAAGGCTTAGGCCTTAACAACTTTAAAATTGTGATATTTCTAAAAATATTGCATACAGATTTACTAAGCATAAAAACCTTAACCGGAGATAAAACAACATAATTCAATCATTTTTAAAGCAAAAAATGTACAATTTACAAACATATACGAGTAAAGAACTGAGATCACTGAGCCGGGTAACAGGTGGATATATATAAATATATTTATGTACGTTTGTGCGGCCGATTGCAACCAAAATACGAGGTGCACATCTACATGTTTATAGCAGTCCTTATACAAAATTTCAACGTTCTGAGGCTACTCGTTTTTGAGTTATGCCTAGATACGTACGTACGCACGTATGTACATACGTTCGTACAGACGCCAACGAACATTCTTTTCAGAATTAATTTTAAAGCAGTTTTTATATATATATATATATATATATATATATATATTATTTTTTTTTTTTTTTTTTTTTTTTTTTTTTTTTTTTTTTTTTTTTTGAGGAAACGAGTCTTTTATTCTGTCCTTACGTACAGATATCACGCAAAAACATCGTTAAATTGCATTCGATAGCGTTCAAAATGGGTATTTTCGTTGAAATATACTGCCTGAAACGTTTCGCGATTACAATACTTCCTTTTTACTTCGTACAAGGAAATTGCCTTCGAAAGAGTACAACATTTCGAAGTACTTACTTGCAGTTCCACTAATCGAAACAAATTAAGAATTTGTTGAAGAGATCATCAAACTGAGTAATTAACAACAAAAAAAAAGGGGGGGAGAGGGCTTACTCTTCTTTTCGACAGTAAACAAAAAAGAAATTGTTACGCATATTATAAGTTAATAATTATATTTATGACAATTACGTTATGAATTGAGAATTACGCTGGTCCTGAGCTAAACTTTGAAGCTTTTAATTCTTTTCTTATTTCTCACAATTTATTTACATTTGGTTAATATAAGATTTAGCTAACGCTTAATATAATATAATAATGTAATGAAAATTTAATATAAAGCAGTGGCAACATTTAAAAAATAAAGCATTTGTATTTCCTGCGCGGGAGAATGTTGCCATTCGAAAAAAAAATGTAACGGTTGATTAGATTGCTGATTCATTTTTCAAACTGTTGCTAACAAAAGTTATCGCCCTGTATTATTATTTTTAGAAAAATTAAATAAGAAGGATCTGCATCTTTGTATGTTCCTTGAACTGTGAAAAAAAACCGACGATATTTAGAGCCATCAAATTTTGAATAAAGTAGTACTCCACCTGAATATGTGCACTTAAAAATGGGAATTTTAAATTTCGAAATTATTATCCATTTCATATTTTGTAAAAATTTAATTAACTTTTGATCAGCAATCGACGATTTCAAAGCGAGCAGTGGCAACACTGTTGGAAATGAAACATTTTTATCTCCAGCGCGAGACTGTTTTTATTCGGAAAAATGTATATTTATCTTTCAGTTTTAATTGACAAACTCGCCTCTATGAAAGCAATGTGTTGTAGAGGTTGGAAACAAAATACTTGTATCTTCCACGCGCTATCGTATTGCCATTCAGTAAGGTCTAAGATACTTCCTTATTTTACTTAGAATGTTGATGAGTAATAAACTAATCGATTTAAAAGCAATAAACACAATTCTTAAGAATTTTTTTCCGACATATTAATGTGATTGTTTTAAATACACATGTATTAAAATCATGAGGTGTCTAATTAGAAATATTTAATATTTTTATGGAATTACACTAGCTGGACTGATTAAAATCATTATATACTTTTTCTTTTTTATGATAATTATTTTAGGCTGCTGGCTGCACCAGCGGCTAGTTTTTAAAGCAATAATATAGCGAATATAAATATATGTATTTCAGTCTTTAACACTCTGTCGGGAATTCTATAGATACGCTGTTTTTAAATATTTTCCTGTTGAATTGAATTTTATGTGGCGTAAGTGCGAAGAACGTGATATTTAATGAATAAAGTTAACACACGAAACTTTAATAATAAGACAAAAAAAGTTTAAAAAGTTTTGCAAGCCATCTTACTAAGAAAACTGAACACTGATATGATGAACTGAGAAAGACTGAAAAAAAAAAAAAAAAGAGAAAGAATAATTTCGGATGGCACCGCATCGGAAATTCTGATCGTATGTTGCTACTTTGCTTTTAAAAATTTTATACTTTCGAAAGAACTTTCGGCTCGCCGCATATCTAGAGTGCCCGTTGCTGCACTGACAGTATGCATTTACAAACATCCATGCCTTTTCTGGGATTCGAACACAGGACATTCGGTATGGCAGTTAGCATCGTTAACCCGCTATCCTGAGTGGGCGGCGGTGAGGTATATATTCTGGCCAAACTGATATTTTCTTTTCTAGTAGACTATGGCTGAAAAAGTAGCATACAGTCAGTTTGATGACTAATCGGAAGAATAATGAAGAAAACTATGATGCATTTTATTAGTTACGATATTCAATTCTCAGAAAAATATTCAAAATCGATTACAGGCGTGGCAAGACGTCTTAAAATCACTGTACATGCGGATTCGTCGCTTATTTGACTCGTAATATGCACGTACGGATTTCTCGCTTACTTTACTAACTCTACCACATTCATACATATCTGGCTTTTATTTTTAACTCATTTCTATTTGAAGAATTTTTGATAAGCTCTTCGCCCATTTTTTTTCACATTTATATTAACTTTTATATTTTATACAGAAATTAACATTATGCTAAATATTATTTGTTACATAGCTTCTATATCTTACACTGTAAACAGTAGCTTCTTTATTTCACATTTTTTATACTTCATAGCGAATTGTCCGTAATTCACTGAGAAAGAACGACAAAGAAGTTGCTTGCATATAAACCAAAGCAAGAACTGATTTAACCACTTCATTTATCAAACACCAGAAATCAACATAACATAAGTACATAAAATGATGCTAAATGATATTAGGGAAAACAGAAAGAAAAACAGGAGGAGGAGAGAAAGAAACATATCAAAGAGAAAAGAAACAGGAAGAAAGTATTTAAGAAATTGTTTTCTCTGTATTAATTCTCAACTTAAGTACTAGAGAAAGTTAGTTGCACGGAAG